AGAGTCCTTCAGCCTTTACTTCTTCTTTTCCCTTCTCTTCCGCAACTTGTAGGGACTTTTCGGGGCTGCTGCCCCCTGCTCAGACAAAGAGTCCTCGCCAGAAGAACCAGTTTCCACCTCACCACTGGACCTACTGTCCTCTTCTTTTTTCTCGTCCTCTGACCTTCCCACCTGTTGCTTTAGGAATTCTTGAGCTTTCAGAACTGAGTCAATCTTTTCCTTCTTCTCTTTCATCTTGAACGATTCCTCCTATTCTTATCCACGGCTACAGTGACAGTGTGCACTTCCCAGCCCTACATTAAACTTTAAAGGTCGTGCACAAGATAGCGCAAAACATCTCAGTGGTGGGAGCAGACACTCCCGGCTGCTCAGCTGGTTTTTTTTGTTTTGTTTTTTGCTTTCTTGTGTACTCCCTTTAAACTTTAAATGGAGTACACAAGACAGCCTGAAACAGCTGAGTGGCAGGGAGAAGCCTGCTCCCTGCCACTCAGCTGTTTTTGTGGCTTTTGCCGGGAGCAGAAAGCAGGGGGTTAAAGGGACTTGGAGTCCCTGTAAACCCCTGCTTTCTGCTCTATCCACAAACCATTTTAAAAGTCCGTGGAAGTTCATGACGATAGACCCATCACGAACTTCAGTTTGTGAACCATGAAGAAGAAGAAGAGATTGGATTTATACCCCGCCCTTCACTTGGAGCCTCAGAGCGGCTTACAAACTCCTTTCCCTTCCCCTCCCCACAACAGACACCCTGTGAGGTGGGTGGGGCTGAAAGAACTCTGACACAAACTGCTCTTTTTCAAGGACAGCTGTGCCAGAGCTTGTGACTGACCCAAGGTCACATCAGCAGGTGCAAGTGGAGGAGTGGGGAATCAAACCCGTTCTCCCAGATTAGAGTCCGCACACTTAACCGCTACACCAAACAGAGGGGAAGGGAGTTTGTGGTTCAGTTCGCGCCCATCCCTGTTTAGGATCATACTGCATAATCCTTGTTAACATTACTTTTTTTTAAAAAAAAAGCAACAACTACTAATATTTCCAAACTTCTGTTCGAAATCTCAGCCGCAGCACATTATCGTTTTGATTCAGAAATACCTCCCCCCCCCCCATTTTCAAGGTACCTTATTTCAAAACACAATATATCAAATATATATATCAAAATATAATATATAAAAGCTTACTTCAAATTCTTTAATAAAGTAACGGATTTCTCCTTGAATAACCGGTCTGTGATCCAGTAGCCGAGAATATATTTCTCCAACATCTGTAAGAAAACGAATGACAGTATTTTTAAATGTTGACGACTTATTTGGGCCTGCATGAAATCACTTCGGGTCACCCAGTTCAACAACTCTTCTCTGTCATTCTGTTCTATTAGTACTATTCTTTTAGTACTGTTCTATTAGTACTTGGATGGGAGACTGTCAAGGAGGTCCAGAGAGCCAGTTTGGTGTAGTGGTTAAGTGCGCGGACTCTAATCTGGGAGAACCGGGTTTGATTCCCCACTCCTCCACTTGCAGCTGCTGGATGACTTTGGGCAAGCCGTAGTTCTGGCACAGCTGTCCTTGAAAAAGAGCAGTTTCTGTCAGAGCTCTCTCAGCCCCACCCACCTCACAGGGTGTCTGTTGTGAGAAGGGGAAGGGAAAGGAGATTGTAAGCCGCTCTGAGACTCCGAGTGAAGGGTGGGGTATAAATCCAATGCTGCTGCTGCTGCTTCTTCTATTCTCTGCTTCCACCTTCCCCCTGCCACATTCTTTCTTCCCGTTTTCCAACAGGTGAGTGGAAGGAAATGCCTTTAAAGTGGGCAGGTTGTCTGCTTTATAATGAGTTACCCCTTCTTTGTACACAAGCACCATTTTAGGAAGCCTCAGCTCTGCTTTCCTCCAGCTATACCAGTACAACTTTTATTTCCTAAAGCAACAGGGGACAGAAACAGGTCTGGAGGTAGAACACGATTTTGAAGGAAAAGCCTTCTTAGAAGGGTCTTTTAAAGAGTTTGTATCCCGACAGCAATGATCAATGGTCATCCAAGGTCATCCAAGGGAAAACTCTATGGTTTTCCCTCGGATGGTTGTGGCCCCGCCCCCAGCTTGCCTGGCGTCATCACGTCACTTCCGGGTGACGTGCGTGCAGCTCCAGCCGCCCTCCAGCTGCCAGCGGGGAGTTCCCCGCTCCGGCGAAATTTTGACTTGGCAACCCTAAACGAATCTCATGATAAAATCGGCAAGATAAAAGAACGTGCTCAATTGTCTCGACCTGTCCAGAACTACAAGGACCGAGTTGACTTTCATAGGGGGCTTCGGCAGCACATATACTAAAATTGGAACGATTGTTAAAAGCTTATGCAGTGACTGCACATGACGGACTGCACATATTCCACCAGTGCTCCGCCAGCTACACTGGCTCCCAGTGGTGTACCAAGTCAGGTTCAAGGTCTTGGTATTGACCTCTAGGGCCCCGAACGGTCCGGGACCCACGTATCTCCAGGACCATCTCTTCTGGTATGTCCCCAAAAGAGCTTTAGGCTCTGCAAAGAACAATTAACTGGTCACCCCCCAGCCCAAAAGACATCCAGGTGTCCTCGACCAGAGGCAGGGCCTTCTCTGCCCTGGCTCCCACCAGGCGGAACTCTCTGCCGAATAACATTTGCAACCTGCGAGACCTAATGTAGTTCCACGGTGCTGGCAAGGCAGAGATGTTCCGCCAGGCTTTTGGTTGAAGACAACGAAGGGTACCATCCTACCTGGCACTCCCTTCTCCCCCCATTCTGCTTCCTCTCTACCTCTCCCGTGAGACAGTGACACACTTTGGAACGCTGACGTAGTCTACGTCCCTAACCCCCCCACCAAACTGGCTCTCATGTCCCTGGAGAGCTGCTGCCAGTCTGTGTAGAAAATACTGGTGCCAATAGACCAAAAGTCTAATTCAGGATAAGGCAACTCCGAGAGAGAGATCTTGGAGTCATAGTAGACAACTCAATGAAAATGTCAAGACAGTGTGTGACTGCAATAAAAAAGGCCAACACTATGCTGGGGATTATCAGGAAGGGAACTGAAAACAAATCAGCCAGTATCATAATAAAGTAAAGGTAAAGGTTCCCTTGCTCGAAAGCCAGTCGAGTCCGACTCTAGGGTTGCAGTGCTCATCTCCGTTTCCAAGCCGAAGAGCCAGCGCTGTCCGAAGACGTTTCCGTGGTCATGTGGCCGGCATGACTAAACACCAAGGCGCACGGAACGCTGTTACCTTCCCACCGAAGCGGTACCTATTTATCTACTCACAATTTCTTGCTTTCGAACTGCTAGGTTGGCAGGAGCTGGAACTAGAGATGGGAGCTCACTCCGTCATGCGGGTCTCGAACTGCTGAACTACTGACCTTCCACAGCCTGCAGTTCAGCGTCTTAACCACTTGAGCCACCGCAGCTCCTATCATAATGTCCCTGTATAAATTGATGGTACGTCTTCATTTGGAGTACTTTGTACAGTTCTGGTCACACCACCTCAAAAAGGGATATTATAGCATTGGAAAAAGTGCAGAAAAGGGCAACTAGAATGATAAAAAGTTTGGAACACTCTCCCTATGAAGAAAGGTTGAAACACCTGGGG